CGAGGGTGAGATAGCGTTTAATCGAGCCTCTGCTAGCTATGCATAATTGAGCATGGAACCGCAAATTTAATAGCCTTAAAATCATTTTTAGTAATTGACGTAAATAATGTGTTGACTATGGTTACATTTAAAATGCTATGTATTTGTCAGTATCCAATTATTCAATTGGGTGAACTGCTTTACGTTATAGTTTGGTCCGTTCGTCTGCACGCAGGATGTCTCTAGAACGCACCTACATATTGTTGCGTACTTATATTTAGCGAACTTATTATTGCCGTTTAACCAGGCCCCGAGTTTGGGGAGGGCAAGCGGGGCAATTGCCCGGGGCGCCAGATTTCAGGGGGGCGCCGGTAGGCGCCCTCCTTTACACTAGATATAATTGAATTTTCCAGTGTTGAACAAAGATAAATATTAAAGGCAAACAATAAATATTAAAGTAAAAGTTAAAGTTATTCGTGGCTTATTTAATTTAATTTGATTTTTCCAGTTTCTGTACACATATTAACAATACTTTGAGTTCGGTTTGAGACACGGAGGAGAGTGGTCGAGTCTTTCTCTCTGCATTTCAATCGGCTCCACGTAACAACTACACACTTTACTCAGCTCTTTCCTTGCGCTTTGCGCATGAAAGCGTAAACTGTTAAATTGTGCACTGAAAATACTGCAATAAACTACCCAGGCTATTGAAAGTATATCTTTCTGACACTCGTCAACACTACGGGACAATCATCTCATAATTTTGTGGGGGGCAGAATTTTGTGTGTGCGTCTTGTTAAAGCCGAACTGTATTGTCATCCATGAGAAGGACCGGGTACGTCTTTGTTACTTCTTCGCCACATCTTGCAACGTTTTTCACCAAATGATGGGGGCCGGGACAGAGGACGCTCTTCCAGCCATCATCATTCGTGTCCACCCAAGGGACGCCTGGGGGTCGGGCTTCGTTGGGAATCCGTGACCACATCGGGACCCCGTGGCGGCCGCTGTAACCCATTTCAACAGCATGTGGCGAATTCTATCTTCGATGGAGGAGGCGTTCTACGACTTGTCATCACTCTCCAATGCGTGGACTTTGTTCTTCTTCCCTTTCCGGTAGGCAAGGTATGCATGAGCAACAGCACCCACGATTCCATATCACATTTGTCTCCTCCCCCTCTTACTACCTACCACCGACCGGATGTCATAATTTCTTCTAGACACTTCTTCTCCCTTCCAAAATATCAACATACATACGTCGCATCTCAATCTGACTGGGCTGGCTTCCTCTCCTCACAACAACATTCCTTCACCAATATCACGTCGCTCAAATTTTTCTACCATGGACTGGAATCTCGGCTGACTCAACAATTACACACTTTTATGACACACTTACTCTGTCACGATGGTTGTTAAATAATTGACCTTGTTATAAATACTGACATCTTATCAAATCGAACTCCCAGATTTAATGAATGTCAATTTAATTACTCATCTTACTGTAATTTTTGTGACTCATTTAATGTCTAAAATTTGCTCCTTTATGGGCCCGAAGAGGCCGGAAAAAAGGAATAAATCATACCAATACCAATATAATACAATTAACAATACTTTAAACAGGAATTTGTTAAGTCGGAAAAAATTTGATTTGTTCAACGCTCTCAGGGTGCAATGAGCTAATTTTTCTGAGACCGACGCCATAATTTTCGCGCTTGTACTTTGCCCCTCTAGCGGAGTTGGAGGAGCTCAAATTTGAAAACTAACCTAGTCTGCGACTTTTGGCACACAGAGGGGTCAATATTTTTTAACGCCCTTTGCACCAGAAATTTCCTAATTTTGTTTCCTACAACCGTTTCCAAGCGTTTCTTGAAACTCTCAACATGACCCTCACGACCTGAGACTGAAGGTATGGAAAGGTCAAGTCTCACATGAACCCACAGGTGGGGTACCGTTAGCAAGGTGTCGGTGAGGGAATTCAGAAAATCTACATATACTTCATCTTTTGTGTGACCTCTTTCTGAAATTCTAAAAACAGAAGAATCTTTTGAGTTTAGCCCGACATTTTGGCCGATCAAACGTTATGTTTAACTGCGAGGGGCTAAAACTTCGCGAAATCCTGAAATTTTTTGAGAATTAAAAAAAACTCGGAAACGGTTTTGTCACTCGATTGTGAGTGACAATAATGAAAACCAGAATCACTTCGCATAGCCACAATTTTGATTTTAGTAAGATTCTCGGTGTTTGTAGAAGTGAGTGGGAGGAGCTCTATCAATCCGGCTGCCATTCGCAGCTTAACGATGTGTCAAAATTTTGTAAAGCGGTTCTCGTCAAAAGTTGCATTTATCTAAAGTTTGCAGTTTTGATGAATGAGTTTTCAAATCACATGAAGTTTTGCAGAAATCATGAAAACACTACACGAAACATTGCTAATAACGAAACTTCATGGTGAGGGGTCGTGCAGCTCCGCTGAAAGTGTCCTTTCCTCACTTTTTCCCAGTGCCCTGGTCAATTTGGTTTTTACCAATCGAAACCCTGATTACAATTACTAATTTGTAATGAAATGAAATTTGTCCAGAAAAAAACAATTCACAATTTGTAATTGTAATTTATCAATTGAACCAAGTTCCTAAAATAGTTGGATTACTTTTCAAATTATAAATTACACTAATTAATGCAATCGGTTGCGTACATAAGTAAATGCAATTTTGTAATTTAATTTCTGAGTGATCAGGCCAAGTCTAGTAAATCCATAAGCCTGGAATGTATTTTGGATTTTCAAAAATATTTAAATAATTTTGGGATTCACGTCAGCTTTGAAGACAAACAATCAGACTCCTTTATTTTGTTACGAAATATACGAAGCAATGTGCATCTATCATCACAAGTTTCACAAACTCGTCGTCAAGGGAAATTTTCATTTCTCCTCTCATCTTCAGCTTATACACATTTCGCCAACACTGAGAAGTTGCGACGATGTGGTCCGAACCAACGATTTTTAGTGACGTGAATAGCCACACTGTATTTTATGTTTTGACAACAAATAAACCGTTCCAAACGAGATGTAGCAAAGGGGTGAAGCAACACGGTCACGCGGTCATGGCGTGTCAAAATGGTGTCGATTTTTGAAATGGGCTACCCAAGCTACGTCCAAAACTACCGAAACAAAAAAATTCTACATTTTCGACATGTGGCGTCGTCTACACTGTCAACGCGCACCGCACGTCGAAATGATGGCGATTTTTGAAATCCACTTCCAATAATACGTCTGGAACGGTTAAGACAAAAAACTCGACATCTTTGACCGTTGGCGTCCGTGGCGCCATGACCTACAACGCCCATGTTCGAACTCATACGTACTTAAAAAATTAGAAACACATTGGCGAAAATCCAATCTCCATATTCGAATTTGTTATAAAGTTATAGATAAGGACCGACAGACAGATCTGTCTGTCTACAGACATACAAGACATTCCCATAAAGGAATTTCGCTTCGCTTCACCCCTTAATAGTGCAAGTATTTGTTGATTAATGTATTTTGGACTTTGAAAAGTCTGAAGTGTATTTCCGTTTTGTATTTTGAAACCGTGTGTTTTGGACATCCCTGGAACCAAAATCCTGCTCCGGTACTACCCTGAAAATTAGGTAGCTGCTAGAGCGTCAAATATGAGAGGCAGAACAGTGTCAATGTCTTACAATTTATTATAGGGCCCATAGCATAAGAACTGATTATTAATTACCCCTAGTAGGTCTAGTTAATTTATTTGCTAAGATAATAATAACGATTGTTTGGTTGTTTCGCAAATGTGGGGAAGAAGATTTTCCTCGTCTATTAGCCCGAGGAAAAGCATAGCCTGCGAGCGCCGAAGGCGCGAGCGGCTAGGGGCGCCAAATTTTTTTTGCCCCGGTAAGATTTTTGGCAAGCTCGGGCCCTGCGTTTAACTACAGGGTCAGACTTGCTAGTTTAGGTTAGCGCACCACATCACGAACCACACCGGCAAAATCTGAAACGCAGTGCACCACACCGCGATATAAAAAAAATAAAAATTATAAAAAATTATTCGATTATAAAAAATTACTCGACAACAATAATTTTGAAGTTCAAAATTTTTGTGTTACCGGCAGTTTTGACAATCGATACGATTTTACAGATATTGATTTTTTTTATAAAATCAATTTTGATAATCATCCCAGTGTTTCGCAGTGGTCTTAATCAATGTTTAAAATATCCGTCCAGAAATACTGGAAACCAATTCTGAGCACCATATTTTGGCCGGCTAAAATGCCCAATATGTCCAAAATTGGAAAATGGAGAAACGTGTTCTAAGTTCTTCATTACTTATACTGGCTTTTTCGAGATATTTATTTCGAGAATTTATCGAGATATACAGTGAAGCCCAAAACTGAATGTCCACCATGTGATTCCCCCACTCTGTGCATGTATAGATATGTACTTTTAAAATCTCTTCTTCATGTAGAGCATTTTTACATGCAACTCGGCACGATTTAGACAATTTTAGATTTCCCATAAACACTCATAGTAAAAATAGTAACATAAAATTTTGAGCATTATCAATTAAATTTCCAAATTTCCAAAAAACTCCCTAAAACTCATCAGTAGGGAAGTTGTCGCAACCTTAACAATTTTCCCTCTAAACAATGTTGGAAGCTAGTCAGTCCAAAAAGTTGTTAGCTGTTTAGTTGTTGCGAGTTCCCCTACGAGCAAGACAGTTTGGGTTTGGATTTGTGGATTTTTGCAATAACAACCAACACGCACCACACAGCGATCCACAAACCGAACCGCACCGCGAACCACACCAGCGAACCACCACACCACACCGCGAACCGGGCCACCCAACCAGCGCACCACACCGCGAACCACACCGGTGTGGTTCGAGGTGTGGTTCGGTACGCTATTTTTCCGCACCAATGGTGCGCCGATCCAGAAACTAGCAAGTCTGTACAGGGTATGTAAATGCATAATAAGAACAAAAAATAACTGCTGGAATAATCTTATTAAAAATGACAAATTTGAGTCGACATTATTTATTTAAACAAGTGAAAAGCCTTCAATTAAATAATTTATGTGAGAAAAAGTACCGTGTCTCGTTTAAATGTGACATTAATAAGGACCATGATATACATAACTTCCCCATAAAGTCGATCGTGCTGCACGATTCGTGCAACATGCCAGCAATGACTTCAACAACTGAATAAATAGTGACTAATGGATAGACTAATTAAATACATTAAAATGGTACATGAGTACACCCTAAATAAAGAGTGACACAATTTACTCTAGTTTAAGTAAATAAAATAGAGAACTACACAACAATTGTGTTACATTTGTCTAGCCTTTCGACAAATTTTAGGCAAGCTTTGATAAATTTTATGTAATTGTTGTGTCGCCCTCCTCCTTTGTTACTAAACCTTGAGTAAATTTTATCCATTTGTATTTAGAGTGTGCACATTATTTATTTGACAAATAATACCGTATCTCTCTTAAATCTGACATTAATAACGACCGTGACATACTCTGACACCGTGAAAATGGACCACATGAGGTCCCCACAAAGCCGATCGTGTAGCATGTATCCGGTTACCATGCAAGCGATAAAAACCATCTGGAGAATGATTAGGACCCCGATTTGTCTATAATAATTGTCCACGTCCCTCGAATGCAGGACAATTCCTACTTTTCGCTTCAAAAACTTGGTAAAATATTGGAGCAACTCGGCCGCAAAGGTGAGGACGATGAAGACCCGGAAAAAGACGGAGTGCTCGCCCGGGTCGCAATCCAAAGAGAAGGCGGGAATCATAACGAGACTGATTATTTCCAGGGTATCGAGCAAATAGGCGACGTTCAGGTAGATTTTGTTAAACCAGTTGTCGAAATACCTGTTCAAAAAATATTTTTCACTTAGAAAATTAGTAATTCAGAGTTCCAGATGAAGGATTTCAGTCATATTTATGTTATTTAATTTCATTCGACTTCATTTCTCCCTTCACCCCATTATTCAGATCCGAAAAGGGAATATTTCATTCATTTTCACTCACTCATATAAAGGGAAATTCATACTCATTCATATTACTCATTCGCCATTATGATCAGTAAAATGAAAAAATAATGAAAAGGTTTATGTATATAGGAACGAACGAACGAACGGTCAGACAGACATACACACCGATTGATAAGATATTTCGACAAAGCGGTTTCATTCCGTTTCATTTGAATGAAGGGAAATTCAAACTCATTCATTTCCAATCGTTATCATAATCAGTCATTTGAATAAAAATGAACAGGCGTGAATACCAGGCTTCGTAGAGCCGATGAAGGAAATGATTGGAGAGGAGGCGTGCCACGAAGACGCCGGCCATGATGGCGGTCCAGATGAATTTTCCGACCCGAAACGAGCTCATGGCGCGAGACAGGGAGGGGAGGATGTTGAATGGGTAGTGCTCATCCCCATAAATGTAGCAGACTTCGGAAGTGGCGCGCTCAAAGTTGTAGAAAACGGCCCAGCTCACACTGATGATCATGGTGAGCCACACGATTCGTTCCATCCAGCCGAATATCCAGCCAAAGTCGAGCTCGACTAGATATGATTAAGTGGAAGGTTTAAGACGGTATTGTATGAAGACGTTTCCCAGCACATGGTTCCGGATTTTGAATAAATTAGTAAAAAAAAATGGGCACAGATTTATAGAGTGCGAAATTAGCAAAAGACACGATCTCCAAATGGGCACGTTTATTAGCAGCGATATTTGCATCCGAGGAGGAGAAAACCTGCCACGAAGTTTTAAACTTGCCAATTCTACGTATTTTCCATGGAAAATAGGTGTACATTTAGATCGTGTCGTTTGCAAATTTCGTACTACTTATGGTTTTGATGGATTGAGAATAGTTTGTTCAAAATTGGAGGGCATACAAGGAGCCGTCCTTAAATTACGCAATGCAAGAGGGGGGAGGTCTAAATGATCGTCCCTATGTTACACATGCTAAAGGGGGAGGCGAGGTTTCGAAAATCGCGATTTTTACGTTACATAATTTATGGACAGCCCCCAATAAAAGACCTCCCTTGTCAGTGTTGATATTTACTGTTAATGTTGAGCTCGCTGTCGGAAAGAGTTTCTTCGCCTTCGACCCATTTAGGCGGATCCGACGCAGTCGGTGAGGCTAGCGGAGAATCTGTAGGATTTAAATTTATGAAAATGTGGAATATTTACATATTTATATAGTTGTATTTTACCATTTCGGCGAATTGTGCTAGCCCGATTGGGCGGAATTCTCTTTTTTTGACTAACATTTCTGAAAAGTGGGAATTGAACGACGTCCTCGTCTCCTTCATTGGCTATGGAACCTCGCTCACCCGTCCCCGTGGAACCTGTGTATTTTCAGTCTATGTATTTACTTAACCCTTAAGGGAGGATGATTAACAACAAGGAAATGCATTAATTCGGATACATTATAAGCATGTTGTGGTCATGGTGCGAGAGGAAGAATTCGGTAGTTTGAATAAAACTCAAGAATACTGAAAAATCCAAACTTCAACATTGCGTTATATCGGAAAACATCCCATTTTTCGGCAAGAAAATGTTCAAATTTAACATTTTGTTGGCATGAGAGAAATCCCCCAGAATGACAGATATTTTACGTTTTTGGTGAGAAAACGATGAAAATCAATGACCTTCCGGAAACGACAATTGTCCTCCACCATGACCACCATTTTTCAGGACGACTTTTTTCTTCCTCCCGAATTAAACCATTTCCAAGAAAACGACAATTGTCCTCCATCGGAATTAAAAGGTTAATTATGCGGTAGTTTATTTATAGCCAATTTGGAAATCTGCAGTCATGCAGACATTAATTTCTGTGTTACCGCTTTCTATTAAAATTACACGGGCCCTTAAAAATATACTACCGACATGGTAAAACTTTGATATCGGTGTGCATATGTGTCTCCATAGCATCTAACTTATGTACTTATGGGATTAAATTGACAAATACCTTGTCAATACTAGTTTGGTAGTCATTTACAAATTTGTAAATATGCTCTTACGAATCTGGTATTAAATCATTACCGGCCGTAGTACGCGCATACCGGAAGGATGGTAACAAGCCCTGAGTAATGTTATCGCACGTACAGACAAAATATTTATAGGTGAATCTACCGATTTTTTTAGTGTCTGAATATCCCTACTTTAATACTGCATTTATAAGAGTGTAGTTAATATACAGGGTTTAAAACTTGACACATAAATACCACTTAATAAGACGTATTTACCTTCGGCCTCCGCATGGGCAGAAAGGTCGATGGAAATTGACCCCGGCGTGTCCTTTAAGAAGCTCGATTGAGGCAGCAATCTTGACTTCACTCTGTACCGGAATGACATTTCTCCTGTTTTTAAACCTGATTCAAACTTAACTTACTTAAATACTCGTGAACGTGTGATGTGGGGGTGGACACTACATACTTGCGAAAGTTTGGGTGTGTATGAGGTGATGTTAACTGTGACGTGAGTGATGAGTGTAAAGTATGTGCTGAATTTGAGTGAACCATTATTTATTTAAAGTTTATCTTATCTTCTCGCGACGAAGACTGGAGTGAGGAATGTATATTTCAACACGTATGCAAATATACATATAAAATTTCGCATATCAGGTGTGGATATACATTTGTGTGTGCATCGAGATGTATGAATTTAAGTATGGAAATGACTGACGAGTTGGATGCTCGTGTTATGCATGTACGACTCATACATTATGTATGATACATATTACATATGTCCATATGCAGCATCATGGCCCGAATAGTTTGTTTTCTGCCCATGTATTAAATACATGGGAAGAACAAATTAATAATTACTATCTTTATTTCGTGCCTTTCAACTTATGTATTCAGGATAGGCCAGCGACATATATCATAAATAAGCGAGAGAATAACTTCTTATCGTTGTATCTGCATATTCATTCTACAGATTACATTAATTTAACTGTCGCTCATCCTTATGTAAAGTACAAAATAGACAAACCCCAACATTAATCTGACCAGGGTGATGCTCGAGGTGGTTTCGGCAGTCGTTTGTTGCCCACTTGAGATAAGAGCGCAGGGCCACCATTTTGGCTCCATTCCACAACTGGATTGCCACACCCTGAATTTATTCTTTTTGTCATCTCAAAAAACAAGATACTTCAGTCATATCATGTCCAAGTTGAATTACGTTTAAGGAATTTAATCATCGTAGTAATTCAGTACAAGTTTCTTATCAGTTAAATATCTCGATTTGTTAAGAAAAAAGTTTGCAGTTTATCAATGGCATCGCCAAAGTCGAATCAAATTCTTGAAACCATTATTAATGAGAATTACGAGGCTCTCAGAAATGCGTTGGATGTGAGTGAATCTTTGCTAAACCATCTCGAAGTGAATAAAATTATTACTGAGGAGGCTATGGATTCGCTGGTAAATTATTCTGCATTATTTGTTTATAAGTGCTTAATTGTTATAGAGTTTTTAATCGAGGTGTTGTTGTTTAAGGTCAAAACTTACGGGGGAAAAAATAAGGCTGACAGATTGCTTAGAATTCTACGTGACTTAAGGACCGATGATGACATACCAGTAATTATGGACGCTCTAGGGGATGATGTTAGCCGTAATAAAAAAGCTTATCAAATTTTTGAAGGTATGCAGAACATTAGAAAGTTGTACCTTTGTATGAAATGGACAAGACGCTGATTACTTTAAAACTTTATGTAAGAGACTAACGACCTCGAGAAAACAACACGGCATGCAATTTCACTGTCTACAAGTTTTAAATTTTTCATTCCCAAGTGTTCCTGATTCGTTTGGATCCTGTTTTTTGAAAAGTAAACCAAGTGTTGAGAAGTGGCAATTTTGTAAAAACAAAACATGCATTTTTTAGGAGTTTGGGAAACCAGTATTTTAGAGTGGTTGGGTTTTGTTGGCAGGAAACTGGAAAACCTGAGAATATTCATTTTCGGGCCCAATTCTTGTGAAACAATATTTCGGATGAAACATCATGCAATACACCTCGTGAAACAAATTTTAAAGAAATTTGAAACAATATTATTAAAGAAGCAAATTTTGGGAATTTATACTCAGAATTTACAACAATCAAACAACGCTTTGCAATTACTAAAATCTTAGATTATCAAACTCCTCAAAACATTAATTTAAAAAAATGTCACCTGGCAGGCCTTTCTACACGTCTTTCCATAATTACAATAATTTATATCACCTTGGGCATGTACATATTTAACTACCTACTTAACAATGTGTTTTAGGGTGGGGTTCCAATAAACGTTGTGAAACAAACCATGACCCAGGAACAGAAACGATCAATCTAATCCCAGTGGCGAAATGCACCAGTGACATGAAGCAAATCATTCAAAAACCCAGGAAAATAGCGAACCTTGTAATTCCCTGCCCCGGACGTACATGTCACCCAACTATTGAATACGAGTGGGAATGCTGGAAATGTAAACAAGGGATTGAATACGGTTATGATAATTTTTTCTACTGCCGCTGTGGTAAAGGCTACATTAATATGTTCGAATTCAAGTGTCCACACCCAAACCATGGCGTCGGGTTTAAGGGATACGACGTTAAATGTATGGCTCAACCTCCAACCTTTCAAGGAGATGAATATTCTCATCCTAGGAGAGACTGGTGTTGGAAAGTCGACCTGGATTAATGCATTCATCAACCATCTCACTTTTGAATCGTTGCAGGAGGCAGAACGTAACAATTTTTGCTCCCTGATACACTCGGAATTCACCATTTTGGACGAAGATTTTAATGAAATCAATGTTTTCACTGGAGTGGACAAGAATGAGGTGAAGAAAGCCGGCGCTTCCCAAACTCAAGAGAGTAAAGTTTACACCTATAACTTCGGTGACACCCGCATCCGTCTCATCGACACGCCAGGAGTTGGAGACTCTAGTGGGGTAGAGAAGGACAGGGAAAATTTTCAGAACATTTTAAGCACCCTTTCCTGTTTCAAAGAGTTGCATGGGATTTGCATCCTGCTTAAACCAAATAATTCTGTTCTCACTGTCATGTTCCGATTCTACATCAACGAGCTACTGACATATCTCCACCGTGATGCCAGTTATAATATTATGTTTTGCTTTACTCATACAAGAAGCACTTTCTACCGTCCGGGGGACACAATTCTGGCCCTGAGGGAACTTTTCAAGCAGAATAGCGGAATTTCGATTCCACTTTCTACACACACAGTCTACTGCTTTGATTCTGAGGCCTACCGTTATCTAGCTGTTGTGAAGAACGTAGCGCAGCTCGTGAAATTTTGGGATGACGAGATGGAAAATTTTGCAATAAGTTGGGACAGATCAAGCAATGAGACGAAGCGAATGTTGAGACATATTTCGACCCTGAAACCTCATCCTGTTCAAAGCACCCTTAGTTTGAACCACACTAGAGAACTTGTACTTCAGCTGGCACGACCGTTGGCAGAAATTTCGAAAATAATCCAGACTAATAAGGAGATTTTGAAGGATAACCCGAAAGGGATTACAGTAACAAAGGAAACGATTAATGAGCAGAATTATGAACTTGTGAGAGATTGTGAAGGCCAATTCGAAATTTGCAGCTTTTCCCAAGTCTAATGCAATTAAGCCCTATAATGACGTCATGCTGGAGTACATGGACCACCTGGTTACTGAGGAGAGGAATGAAGTTAAGCCTGGTGGGTCTGAGCAAATGCTTTTACACCTGGAATGTTCTCGAGGTTCGTATAAGAAGCAGTTGGAAATATTGGATGAAGCCATGAAAAGGGGAGACAGTAGGGATATTCTGAAGCCACAAGAAGTGAACGATTTGGTCCAACATTTGTATAAGTTGAAAATTTATGGAAAATCTATTCGGGATTCTTTGAAGGCCGTGAACAAATACTAATATTTCACATTACCAGGAAGTCCCGAGTAACGACAATGTCTTAAATAGTGTTAAAGTTACACTTGGATTATGAAAATTTTGAGTAACAATAATTTCAACCGGAATTTGTTAAGACAGAAAAAAATTTGAATTGGATAAGGTTCACAGGCTTTGTAGAGCTGATTTTTCTGAAACCAAGGGTGGCAGTAGTCCGTCTCTACTCCGCCCCCGGCGGAGAGGGAGGAGCTTAAAGTCGAAAAAATCTCTCGGTCTGCGACTTCTAGCGCAAAGAGGGGTCAATATTTTTGAATGCGGTTTACACCAAAAGTTTCCTAATTGTTTTCCGAGCATTTTTGGAAATTCTCAAAGGAAAATCCCTGTTACACTAAAGGTAGCGACAGTTCAAGTCTCAAGAAACCCCACAAGTGGTATCGTTAAATAGGTGTGCGCGCGAGGATTCAGAAAATATACACTTTGTCTTGTGCATGACCATTCCCTGACGATGAAATTTCCGTTGAAATGACTTCCTACATGAAAATTAAGGTGGAATTGAGTTGCGGACAACACCCATTGGTTGGGGGAGGTCCTATCAATCCCATTATCGAACTCGACCCCGAAATACAGATTGGAAGCACAATTGCGAAAACCGCGTTTGACTACGTTGAGGTGTTCTAGAGATATATCGCTTATGAATGGACGGACAGACGGACGGACGGACATATGTAGTCACGTATATGAATATCGAAGTACCTTTTTTATAAATAAACAAAACTTGTAAAAGGTCTTGTCTCCAATGCTGGGCTACTTTCTGGGAATTCACTTTGCGAGGGATAGCCAACCGAGTAAAGTAAGTAAAAAGGCTGATTTTACCATGATTTGACCCTATCGACACGACCAAAAGTTGGCAATGCTATTAATGACCGAAACACATTTACATACGCACGTTGTTTAAATGACACACATTCTTAAAAATTTTGAAACGTGAATGCACTCTGATTTCTAAATTAAGTACAGTACACCAAATCCCGAAAATTTTTTTTTATCAAACCAAGGTTACCCTGGATTTTGTGTACATAGTTTACTTGCTTAATATGAAATGCGGAGTGTAGCTGCTTCTTACAAGTGTAACATTATTTTTAAGAGTACACGTAAATTAATAGCTCGAGAGTAAATTAATAGCTGGATAAATTTAGAAAAGTCAAATTTTACAGATTATTCATAAAAATGAGAGCATTATCTTGAAGTATCTGTCGGAATCTGTACATTAAACATACAGTAAAAAATTGAATGCAAATAAATAAACTATTTTGAAACAATATTTTTATCTGGAAATTTCCATATTAATTATTTCTTTATTGATGGGTAATTCATTCTGGAAATTTTTAAATGACATTAAAATAAGTAGGTATATAACTCTCTGATTTAAATATTGCGTTTTAACGCGGGCATTAAAAACAGGCTAGGCTATTGTCGACCATTATTTCTCGATAAATTTAGAGAAGTCAAATTTTACAGATTATTCGTAAAAATGAGAGCATATTGATCTTGAATTACCGCATTACATAAAAATTTCGTAATATCTACTTTCGTCTTTTAATTATATCGTATTACGAACATAAAGTGTGGTTTAAATGGCTCACTACCAGGGTAAGTTTTTCAATACTGAATAATTTTGAGAAACATAATTTGAGAAACATAATTACCCAACTTTTCCCTTTAAAATTTAATTCATCATCTTACGAACTCTTTCATTATGTTTGATCAGTTTTGAGATTAGAATTGAATAATGATTAAAAATTCCATTTTGAAATATTCAAAATGCAGATTTATTGGTAAAAACCCATAAATCTTTGCAAAATTGTCCATTGTAGCGAGACATTTAAACAGTTAGTTTAAATGCACTCTGCACACGCAGTTCACGCATAATTGGTACATAAAAAATGGCCACATTTTATGCTACTCAGATAAAGATAGCGAAAATGCTACTCAGATACGTCCAGTGACATAAAAATATGGACAAGGTTATTAAGCTTATGAGTGTAGGTGTTAATACAATGAACAACAAACATATTCGCAAAAGATACTCGACCAAGAAATGAGCTAGTTGGCTATCCGTATCGCCGGTCTGAGAAGATTCGCCGTATTCGTCGAATTCGGACGATTCGACGGATTCGGAAGATTCGCTATTGCTGATACTATCTTCCGGTTCTATTTCTGCACGTTCACGTTCAGCTTCATCTTCCCACGCATTTCTGTCAAGTTCTGGGTAAGCATCCCTGTTGAAGAAGAGCACTGAAGACTTAAGTTATCAAATTATTAGTATAACATTGCGTCTTAAAATTTCATTTTTAAGCTCCCTTTCACTTCGAAGGATTTCATGCTCCTACTGAATTTCAGCCAGGCTAATACAAAAGTTTGCAGCTTTCGATGTCCGGGAACGGCTGCCGGACGTCGGAACAAATTCTCGTTTGAAGCGGACGCCACCGGTGGAAGCTGCGCACCTATGCGATTTATTTAGGAGCAGATCCTTTATTTAAGTAAATCTACACGTGATTTTGGCATCCGAAATTCAGAGATCATTGTGAAGCAAATCTTTCTAATATATGTAACAGATGTTCTTATGTAAATTAAGGGCACAATATATCTCGAAAAGTACAGGCTTGATGTAACCACATGCAAGAAATAACTACAAGTGGTTTCTTTTAGCTACACTGTAAATAATTTTGAGGCAAATCGTCACCCGCGGAGGTGCTATACTGCTCTATTTTTGGGCAGTGATTATGGATACGTTTTGTCACCAACGGGAGATAAGTCAAAAATTCTTGTACCAAACATACGTGACGTCGTTATTTTAAAAAATTTTTAGAATTTTTATCTAAATTATCTGATTTGTTTTTCCTGGAAGTATTTATTTTTTTAAATAACGACGTCACGTGTGCCTGGCACTTGTGAATTTTTGACCTACATATCTCCCATTGGCGACAAAACGTCTTCATTATAACATTATAGTAAAAAATTGTTTTCTGAGGGTAACAATATTACCTTAGATTCTGTTACCAGATCGGTGACATTTGGGGCTGAGCGGGATTTTGTCTCTGTGTATATGTTACCCTTCTGTGATAAATTATGACCAGAAGTGCATATTGTCACCTCCGCCGGTGACAATATTATCAAAAAAATTTTGAGAGTTAAGCAACGAAACATTTACATGTAATACTTACCAAAAGCGACGTCTATCAATTAAATCTGGTATTTCTTCCTCAATCTGTCCAGTTTCCAAGGCGGCGAGATTTTCGGCCAGTAAATTTCTGCAGGAATACCGTCCATACGAAGTGCGGCAGACGGGACACTTATTTCGTAGCTTGGGAGCATGATTGGCGCAAATATTGTGACCGTTTTTGCACTGGAGCACCCTCCCGGGGAAGACATCAAGACAAACGGGACATTGCAAGTGGGCCGTCAACTCAGGAAACAGAAACATTTTGTGGGGACAATAATAAACTGGGTGTGGGGGGATAATAATTTTAAATTATTCTGCGACAAGTTTGTACGATACAATTTTTTTTATAATCACCGATTTCAATTTTTTAACTAATTGCAAAAAATGTGCTTTTTTACACTATGTTCAATATAGTAAATTATTTGATGGATAATTGTAGATAATTAAATATGAAGAGAAAGTAGTTTGTTGAGATTTACAAATTTGTCGTTGAACTAATTGTAGGTTTTAGCTACATTTATGTGTCAAAAACTTATTTGTAGCAGTGTGACAAAGGTAAATATATGTGAACACGAAGCTGGGAATGTTCTTTGGCGATGTGCAAAAAGGGAATGAAGGGATGCTATTAGTTTACCTGTAGTGAGTCCTAGGGTGCGTCCAACAATTATAGGACCAAGCGAATTTTTTCTGTTTCTCTGCTCATGTTATCTTGAATGAATTGGTATTTGGCACGTTTCTGGAGATTATCACCCTACACCCTCAATGTAGGGTGATAATCTTCAGAAACGTGCCCAAGATCAATTCATTCAAGATAACATGAGCAGAGAAACAGAAAAAATTCGCTTGGTCCTATAATTGTTGGACGCACCCTACTTAAAAACTAGGACTGCGGTAAACCTGCGATCACAGCAACAAAATAAATGTGTACCATTTTAATCCCGGTATATTTAAACCCTTTTCATTTTTAACCCTTCTGATGGAAAAATTTTTTATCGAATGTATTTCATATTTACAAAAATATGTACCTATATAAATATATACATCATCTTTTTCGTAGAATTTGATAAATAAATCTTCACCCGACTAAGGAAAACTAACAATGTAAAATTTAAAAAACATTCAATGTCAAAATATAATTAGTTACAACTGATTAATATCGCTTATTAGACGGCACAATTTATTAACAAAGGCTAAGTTGATTTACAAAAAGTGTTTTTGACCACAATAAATTTACACGTTAATATATACATATCTAATTATGTACTTTTTTGATGCCTGTTGGTCCACCAAGGTGATAAATCCTTTCAAATAGGTATGCATGCATTAACCCGCAAGTAGAATGATTAACTAATAAATTAATTTATATAATGTACACAATTTGCTAAGTTTTAGTGTAAAAATACCTCTACTTCTACACAAGAAAATATTGGGTATAAGCGATTTACAATAAAAAGAAACAGATTTTACTTCCATCATCTGGATAACACAAAAAATACCTGATAAATATTCTAAATCATAAATTATAATAAACAGTAATGATTTTGCTGACGAAATAGGAAACTGTATACGCGACAGAAAGTGTGCCGTAAAATATTTAAAGACATGTCTTCCGATCCTGGTGAAAATAATTAAATAATATTACTAAGATGGAAACAATTGTTTCTAGAAGTACTTTACATCAATTTACACCGATTTTATTAAATATCTCATCATTTAACATAGTCAGTAATTAAGGAACTAAATAATAAACTGATTTTCGAAAATCATGTACCAACATAATATGAAAATGGAAATCAAGTAAATGTCTTTATATCGTTAACAAGGTTGAAAATCCATTGGGAACGACAAAGGCTTTCAAACCCGGATTTTCCGGAGAATATAGATTTAATGCTACATAAAAGAATCAAGCGTTCCATCCTTGAAAGAAGTAGATTTATTTGATAAGCACTTAAATTTAGAAATTATCGAATCATTGCGAGAATTAAATGTGCGAAGGGAGTCGAAATTCTGAAAAAAATGCAATAAATCTGCCGAATAGATAAGAATCAAAGGTACAATTAATCAGTTCTGAATTAGACAAAAAGAACTAAATTTCTCTTGCTACTCGTCAATTTTAATTGGCAAACATTAATTTCGTCCATGAAAAATGAAATACATTTATTTTTTCATCCATGTGCATTCATCTGCCTGCTAAAATACTTATAAGCACCCTAATTTTTGTATGTAGTAACTTGTTCTTGCGCACAATACCATTGTGTCGCAATAAGTTTAATTTGTGTAACCTCACTTTCGCTTAAATGGAATGTAAGGCAAATCAATTGTTCAAAATGGTAGTGTGCAAACTAAGATAGTGTGAATCAGTCGGGGTGAATCGAAAACTTAACGCAGTTTTAGTACGTGAATTGGGTACCTATTTATAATGAAAGCCATCATTTTTTGTTTTCCATGAATGAAACCCCATTTATCATAAATGATTTATGGATTGAACTAAATTTCCATTTCTAATATTTATTCGTCATTTAATTTACCCATTTAATATAATTTAGTAATAAATAAGTACACAGTAAACACAATGCGAATTTGAAACATTTCATTTTAATGATAAAAGGATTGGGTCAACCTATCCGAACGAGTGACAATTACAAATCGCACTAGCATATTGTTAAAAGGTATATATTCTCTTGCCCTGGCAATACAAGCAGGCACCCCTATGGATGGATGATGAACAAGAGCGTGTATTTATCGAGCTTGCGACAGAAATGTTACTTCTGTTTAGAAGATTTACATACTTAAGAAGCAAAAAACAACGTGTGTTTCGTGGCCTTCAAACTTATAAAACTGCTAAAGGAATTTGATGTGAGTATTTAGTTTTTCATTAGCAATTTTGGATGATTGTGTGTCTGCATGCTTTAAAAATAAATTTTAATTAACACTTTTGTTTTTCTTATTGTACTGGTCACTAATGACCGATGGCGGATTTTGACGCCCTACATTGTGCAGTGTATATCATCTAGCGGAAACGCAAATCAACTTAAGCGAGAGACCAGTGCCACCTAGCCAGGTGATGAATCATCATTTATAAATAGTCCCCGGATATT